TGTAATTCTGATGTGCCTTGGTGTGTTCATCCTTGGATCCAACTTCTTTGGGACTCTCTGATCTTCCTGGCTTCCTGAAAGTCTATTTCCTTGGCCAGATTGGGGAAGTTTTCCTTCAATATTTGTTCAAATAAGTTTTCCATTTCTTGCTCTTCCTCTTCTCCTTCTGGCACCCCTATGATTCAGATGTTGAAACGTTTAAAGATGTCCTAGAGGTTCCTAAGCCTCTCCTCATTTTTTTGAATTCTTGTTTCTTCATTCTGTTCCAGCTGAATGTTTCTTTTTTCCTTCTGGTCCACACCATTGAGTCCCAGTTTTCTTCCCATCACTTTTGGTTCCCTCTACGTTTTCCTTTATTTCACTTAGCATAGCCTTCACTTTTTCATCTAATTTGTGACCATATTCAACCAATTCTGTGAGCATTCTGATTATCAGTGTTTTGAACTGCGCAGCTGATAGGTTGGCTACCTCTTTGTCTCTTAGTTGTATTTTTTTTCTGGAGCTTTGTTCTGTTCTTTCATTTGGGCCTTTTTTTTTTTTTTTTTGGTTTCTGTGTGATAGTTACATAGTAAGGAGTGAAGCCTTAGGTGTTCACCAGGGTGGGGCAACCCTGGTTGCTGCATTTGTGGGGGAGGGGTCTGAGAGGGAACAATGCTGCTTGTTCCACTTTCTGCCAGTTTTCAGTCACTTCCCCTGCTACCACAATCAAATTTAGCCCTTCTGGTGCTGATTCCCGGGTGGGTGGATTTGTGTATGTTCTAGAACCCTGTGGGTCTCTCCAATGAACTCTCCTGTGAGGCTCTCCTGGGAATTTCTCCTGCTTCTGCCTCACCCCCCATAGGTGTTTTCAGTCAGAGGTTTGAGGCTTTATTTCCCAGCGCTGGAACCCTGGGTTGCTCCCCAGTTCTTTCTCCTGGTTTATCTGCACTCTAATGTGGGACTGCCCAGTCTCCAATCTGCCACCTTGCCAAGTCCGCCACCCACTGCCTTGCCTGCACAGCTGCAGCCTTGCCCATCCTGCTCCACCAGCCACTGCCTTGCCCATCCTGGTCCTCCAGCTGCTGCCGTGCCTCGAGTCCTCTCCACCCCACTGCCTGTTTCCATCCCTCCTACCGGTCTGGATGAATGTTTCTTCTTTAACTCCTTGGTTGTTAGACTTCCATACTGTTTGATTTTCTGTCAGTTCTGGTTGTCTTTTGTTTTTAAATTTGTTGTTCTTCTTTTGGTTGTGCAAGAAGGCACAGTGTGTCTACCTACACCTCCATCTTGGCCAGAAGTCCTATTTGTATACATTTTAAAACACTTGTGCTGCGTATAGTTTCAGTCATCTCTTCAGTTGTGAGAATAGAGGCTCTGAAAAACAACAGTTAATTATGCCTGACAGATTCAAGGAAAGAGAGATAGTAGCTCTGGTAAAGAAGGCCTGAATGGGGCCTTTTTGTCCGTTCAGCAACCACAACCTAGATATGGGCTCTGATCAGGTATTGAACCCTCAGCCTTTTGGTGTATGCGATGATAACTCCAACCAAGTGAGCCACCTGGCCAGAGCAGAGGTTACCTCATATCTTAATAATCTAAGTCTAAGATTATGTGCCAGATCCAATTATAAAATGCCAGAGAAGTGTTTGATTAGCTTTGCAGTGACAGCCAGAAAATTTGTGCTCCCACCTACATAGTAAGGGTTGTCACTGGGAAATAACTGTTCTGCTAAGAACTATGTTTTCTAGTTGTCCCCTTGCATCTAAGTAAAGATATGTGAATGCTTCTCATTGGTGGAAAGCATGTAGATGATGTGTATTACATTCAAGCCAAGATGTTTATAAAGTGCTATGGTTTTTCTGTGTCTTCTCTTCCTGTTTTTGTTGGCTAGATCCAGAGGGCTTTACAGCTCTAGGAAATTATGGAAGAAGCCTGGTCCCCTGAATTTTTGTGTGCAGAAAAGTCCACCAATATCCAGGGTTAAAGCACAGTTGAACATGATATAATTGAGAAATCATATTTCTCTTTTTTTCCAGTCCTTGGCAACCACTGTTCTTTTTGTGAATGGCTGCTTTAGGTACCTCACATAAGTAGAATCAATATTTGTTCTTTTGTGTCTAGCTTATTTCACTTAACATAATGTTTGAAGTTTCATCCATGTTGTAGCAAGGGTCAGAATATGATCCTATTGTGTGTATATATGACAGTTTCTTTATCCATTCATCTGCTGATGGACACTTAGGTTGCTTCTGCCTTTGGCTTTTGTAAATATGCTGCTATGAATATTTGTGGACAAAAAGGGGCCACATACTAAACCTGAGGAGCTCAGGAAAGCCTATGTGGTGGCTTTATTAACTCAGAGACGTAGAGTAACCCACAAAGGATGGTCTGAAATTAAAACTTATTAACTAGAAGCAGTTTATGGCAGGTGGTCATATCCTAGGCTAGAATCTTCCCTGACAAAAGTCAATCTTTCCTTTATTAAGGGTACTGTCTACTGTGTTTTTGCATCTGTGATAACATACCTTAGGAATGTCAAAATGATTTCCTTTTTCCAGACCCCTCAAAGCACAGATATCTCACCAGAGAACCAAAGGGAAGACCACAAATCCCCTGATTGTTATTGAGTTAGTTGTTGACTGTTAACTTTCCTGCACCCACCTATCTACAAGAAGTTTGTATTTATTGTTTTGCTTTTTATCCAGTTCCAGAAGTTCCCCACTTCCTGCCCCTCCTTAGCTTTCTCCTGCCTCCCTAATCTATCACCAGTGAATGTCTTTTTTCTTTGATTTTAATGTATAAGATAAGTGCAAAACTGCTATTCTCTGGAACATTTTCTCAATCTGTTGAGCATCTGGTCTTGGTTCACAGTTTGGCCTCACCTGGGCATCTCCAAGCCCAGCAAAAGTAGCAGCCATGTGCAGATCACTTTGTAGTGAATGCTTTGTGACCATGGAGAAAATATAAGCAGTGGCTGATCTTGAATGTGCCAACAGCAATCTAGGCTCAACTGCAAGAGGAAGGTGTACACAGCCCACACAATGAGTATACCTTGAGTACCCAGATTAGGTGATAGTGGGGGCTGTGCCACTGGGCCCTACAGGATGCCTGTTACATTATGCCACTCTACCAACCCTGGGAGACATAGTAGCTATACCTAATACATAAAAACAAATACAAAGAGGCAGCCAAAATGAGCAAAGAAACATAGCCAAAATGCAGGAACAACAAAACTCCAGAGAAATAACTAAATAAAATGGAGATAAGCAATCTATCAGATACAGTATTCAAAACACTGATTATAAGGATGCTCAGGGAACTTAGTGAGGACCTCAATAGCATAAAAAAGATCCAGTCAGAAATGAAAGATATCTTATTGGAAATAAAAACTGATTTACAGGGAATCAACAGTAGAGTGGATGAAAATGAGTATCAAATCAGTGATTTGGAACATAAGGAAGCAAAACAAAATAAAACAACCAATCAGAACAACAAGAAGAAAAAAAGAATAAAAAAATGAGGATAGTGTAAGGAGCCTCTGGGACAACTTCAAGCATACTGACATTTGCATCACAAGGGTGCCAGAGGAGAAGAGAAAGAGCAAGAGATTGAAAACCTGTTGGAAAAAATATTGAAAGAAAACTTCCCTAACTTGATGAAGAAAATAGACATACAAATCTAGGAAGCACAGAGAATCCCAGACAAGATGGGTCCAAAGAGGCCCACTCCAAGACACATCATAATTAAAATGCCAAAGATTAAATCCAAAGAGAGATATTAAAAGCAGCAAGAGAAAAGCAGTTAATTACTTACAAGGGAGTTCCTATAAGACTATCAGCTGATTTCTCAAAAGAAACTTTGAAGGCTAGAAGGGATTGGCAAGAAATATTCAAAGTCATGAAAAGCAAGGACCTACAACCAAGATTACTCTACTCAGCAAAGCTATTTTATCATTTAGAATCATTGAAAGGCAGATTAAAAGCTTCCCAGACAAAAAAAAATCTAAAGGAATTTATCATAACCCAAACAGTATTATATGAAATATTAAAGGGTCTTCTTTAAGAAGAAGAATATTAAAAATATGAACAATAAAATGGCAATAAATAGATATCTATCAACAACTGAATCTAAAAAGCAAAATAAACAAGCAGAACAGAAATGGAATCATAGATACAGAGAATGTTTTGATGGTTGCCAGATTGAAGGGGTGTCGGGGGATAGGTGAAAAAAAGTGAAGGGATTAAGAAGTACAAATTGATAGTACAGAATAGTCATTGGGATATGAAGTACAGCATAGAAAATAGGGTAGCCTAGGAACATATATGCATGACCCGTGGACATGGACAATGGTGTAGGGATTGCCTGAGGGACTGCCTGAGAGGGGGCCGGGTGGAGTGGGACAAAAGAGGATAATTTGGGACAACTGCACTAGCCTAAACAATGAAATATAATAAAAGAAGAAATAAAAATAAAATAGAAAAAAACTTTTTAATTGTTGATTTTGGAGAACGGGCAAGAGAGAAAGAGAAACATTTTATTGTTCCATTTATTTATACATTCATTGGTTGTTTCTTGCATATGCTCTGACTGGGATTGAAACCCTCAACCTGGGGGTATCAGGAAGATGCTCTAACCAACTGAGCTACCCAGACAGGGCCTCCTGGTGCTCTTTGAAGAGCATTGGCACAGATCATGGTCAGTTTCATCCCTATAGTAAGAAAGAAAATTATATACGTCTTTTCTGTGTTCACGTTTTGAAATTTCATTTTTTAATACTAATTTTTACTGTAGAAAATAAAAAACGCCAGTCTTCCATGACTGATGCAAAGCCTCAGTAGAGAAACACAGACTTAAAAGACCTATAACTTGAACAATTTTAAGACGCTTTGCCCCAGTGGCTTTCTCAATGAGGAACTACAATGCCCAGAATTCTTCCAGATGCGTAAGCAACGTCTATTACCCCTACTCTTCGCGACGTCCACTGGGGCTTGTAGTGCGTGAGTGTGCTGTGCACGCTGCCCTAGCCCGGCATTTTTTCCGGTTTGCTGAGGATCAGCGCCACAGGAAAGGTGATGTCTCTCGGGTGAAGGCTAAAAACTGTGATACGAGTAAGGGGTGAGCAACACAACTGAGCCTGTGGTTTCTTTGGTTGGGGATCAGGAATAGCCTTGACTTCTGAGCTATCGTTACTCTTTTTCGCTGGGATTGTCTTGGGAAGTTGCAAGGCATAGAGGGAAAAACTTGCCGGCAAGTTAGGGCCAGATTTGTGCGGTAGATTTTCTTTTTCCACCCAGCACTTTTTCATGCCCTGGTTTCAGGCTGACTGAGAAACTGAGGCCTTTTAGGTGTTGGATTTTTCTGGAGCACGAAGGTCGAGGGCAAGGGCTGAGACCACCCTGGCAAAGACAGGAGAGACCGCAATTAATCGTTTGGCGCTCCTGTGTATGGATGGGGTACTAGGGATACCAGTCATTTGCAAAGGGTATCACTGTTTATCTTGCAGTATACCTGTTCACAGCTGGTACCTATTTCTCATGTACAGTCCTAAGGCTTCTCCTTTGGTTAAATATCTTCCCCAAGGTCACTTAGGTGGGGTAGAGCTGGGGACTTGACATCTTCATATTCTAACCATTGAATTGCTTCCACTTTGAATTGTGGAGAGACTGGAAAATCTTGAAGATAATTTTGCTTTATGCAGTGTATTCTGTGATACGTATGTGACCCAGACAGCCTTGGGTCAGGTTGCTGTATTAACTGCTACACAGTAGTCAATACTGTTCATCTCTTTTTCCTGTGAGTTTAGCATATATAGAGAGAGGAGTCTAAGTGTACTTTTAGGGCTAGTTTCTTGCTGTAATGAGGCTGTTCAAGTTGAAGAAGTCAAAATAGCTAATGGTTTATTCCAGCTTCACTAGTACTAGAGTAGTTTTTAGTCTTTTTGAATCTAGCTTTTCTTATCTATAAAATGCAAAGGATGATATCTACCTGGAAGTTTAGTTCAGAAAATTTAATGGCATAACATATTTTTAAAGTCCTTCGTAAAATGTTGCAGAAGTATTTGGATGATATGATTTTAGTCCTAGCTTTTAAAAACATTATTTCTCAACTGGAAATGCAAACATTTATAATATATTTTTAAAACAAGTTATTTTTCATAATTATCTTTGGTTCATATAGTGCTTCACCATGTCTTGTTACAGTACTTGATTGTTTCATATTTTCTTATTGGACCTCTAATCATCTTGTTTATTGGTTAAAACCTATCTAAGGTCAAAAGTGACTAAATTGTTTGAGTTATTTTGGGGCTTCAGGAGAAAGGAAAAAGAAAAAAGAAATCCTGAAAACATTTATACTTACCCTTCTGAAAAAAATTTTTTATTGTGGTCCTGAATTAATGGCTGTTCTTTGTAGGAACTTCAAAGGTGATTTGTTTGTTTGTTTGTTTATTCATTTATTTATTTATTGCAAACACTTTTACTCTTTTATTTAAAAAGACAGCTCTGCTGTGGCCAGGTGGGTCACTTGGTTGGAGTGTTGTCCTACATGCACAAGAAAAGGTTGAGGGTTTGATTTCTTTGATCTCAGGTTAGGACACATACGGTACATACCTACGTTGCATTCCAGTGGGGGCATGCAGGAGGGAAGGCTACTACTCTATGTTTCTCTCTCACATCGATGGTGTTTCACCGGGGTTTGCTTTGTCTCTGTCTGTCTGTCTCTCTCCAACCCCCTCCACACACCCCTTTCTCTCTCTTAAAAAAAGGAAAAGTTCTGAATTTGGGGTTTTTCTTCCTTTTGCTATAATGGTCCAATTTGAAAACTGTATGTAAATTATTTTAAATTATAGTTGACATGCAATATTTCAAGTGTAGTGTACAACAGTGTTTTGACATTTATGTACCTTATGAAGTGATCACTGCAATAACTTTAGTACCTATTTGTCACTGTACAATATTCTTATGGTATTATTGACTATATTTCCTGATAGATATTTTTTAAATGTAATGCAGCAAGAAGCATCATTTCTTGGACATTTAGTTTTGGATCAAGCCCTATTATCTAATTCAGACTAAGAACAATGCCTCTAGTTAGTGCAAAAAAACAAAAACAGCAAAAAAAACCCCCAAACCAAACAAAAACAAAAATACCAAAGAAAAACTTGTTACTTTCATTTGAATGTTAGAATTAATTTGTTATTAATAATATAAGTGTAACCATCTTAAACCAATTCTTTTACAGAAATTGTATATTGGAATGGAATTTGGAGCCATCATAATGGAAGCAAAAAATATGAAGGAAAAACAGTTATTTTTATATCGGCATATTGTACCTTGCTACTAGTTGCAAATGGCTTTATTTACCCAAGAAAATTTGTGATATAAATGAAGATACCTTGTTCCTAGACTCGGTGTTTATAAATATGCTTCGTCTAAAAGCTATTTGTCCATTCTCCTGGAGAGTGTTTCATTTTCGACCCTTCAGTTGTGAACCATTAATTAGCCAGATGGAGAAATGTAAAGATGAAGAGCAAGTTTTTGATCTTATTGAAAAAAACAAAGCCGTACTTTCAGAAGAGCAAGTGGGATGTGCATTTAATACACTTTGGCAGTTTCAAAAGCAGAAGACCAGCTTGTTAAAAAATATTGAATGTATCAGAGACCATCCCCAATTTCTTACTCTTTACAATTTAACTGTAAATAAAATGGAATTTATGAATGATGATAATCTGGTGAATGTGTTGTACATCACAAGACAGTAAGTAATAGGCAGTAAGTAATATATTTTTAGATTTTATAGAAATGATTATAGTGTATATTTTAATTGCTAAATATCTCTTTAAGCCCTGGCTAGGTAGCTCAGTTGGTTAGAGTGTTGTCCTGATACGCCAAAGCTGTGGGTTTGATCCCTGGTCAGGGCACATAGGAGAATCAACCAATGAATGCATAAATAAGTGGAACAACAAATCAGTGTTTCTCCCTTCCTCTCTTTCAAATCAATTAAAAAATTAAACATCTTTTTAAAATGGAAAACAAATAGTTTTTTCCTTACAAATAGTTTTCCTAATTATCTAATATTTTTAAGATGCTTAGAAGATATTCTTTGGTTTTGGTAATCATTTTACAATATTTGTGTATGAAAACATGTGCAACCTAAATAGGTACAGTTTTTTAAAAAGATTTTATTTATTTATTTTTAGCTATGGGGGAAGGGAGGGGGAAAGAGAGGGAGAGAAACATCAGTGTGTGTGATTGCCTCTTAAGTGTCTCCCACTAGGGACCTCACCTGCAACCCAGGCACTTGCTCTGATGGGGAATTGAACTAGCAACCCCTTGGTTCTCAGGCCAGCACTCAATCCACTGAGTCACACCAGCCAGGACTAAATATATAGTTTTTATTTGATAGTCATAAAGCTAGGAGAAAGTTTAAAAAAGAACATTGTTTGCAAAGGGAATCCAGCCTTCAGAAGAAATTAATTCCCTAAATAGAGGATTCAGTAGTCATATAATGGGGGGAAAAGCACACAAAAGTTAGTCTTTTTATTAGTTTCATTGTGGAAAAATAGCAGTTTTCTTACACCCAACTTTCAAGGGCTGTTTAAGTAGCTACAGATGTTAAAATTGTACAGTTAGAGATACAGTTATTAGGGAGTCAGCATACATTAAAGGGACGTGAGGCTTTACTTATTTTGGGGATTGATGTTAGACTAAAAAAATGGCTTTCCCTTTTTTTTGGTGGTCTTTCTCAGATTGCAGTATTTTTTTCTCAGGTATATGAAAAGAAGTGTGTGATGACAACAGGCAAAATACCTGGCTTGTTTTCTCAGTGGGCATGTTAGTTTGGAAAATGCTGAACCAGGCAAAATTTAACAATCTTTATTGCAGGGCTCTTCAGAGCCATTAATATGCCAGTGTGTATTACGAATCTCTAAGTTGGGGCATTTTCCAAACTTATTTAATCACAAAGCATTGGTTGAACACCTCATAGGACTGAATGATGTGTGTTAGGCATAGATGGGGAAATGCTTGGTAATAATTTACCTAAAAACTGCATTTCTGTGTTTCCCTCAAATCATATTTTAATAAGGAAAGGATTTCAAGAGTAGAATATACTTGTGGGTCCTGACCATTGTGGCTCAGTTGATTGGGTGTTGTCCCACAAAGCAAAAGGTCAGTGGTTTGATTCTTGGTCAGGGCACATGCCTGGGTTTTGGGTTTGGTTCTCAGTCAGGGCGAGTACAGGAGGCAACTGATCGATGTTTCTCTCCCTCTCTCTCTGCCTCCCGTCCCCTCTAAAAATAAATAAAATCTTAAGGAGAAAGAAGAGATAGAATATAACTGTGCTTCCAAGTTTTTAAAACAAGATGTAGTTTGATTTTGCTTTATGACTCAACCTGAAATTCTTTGACTTCTAGGAGACAAAATAATACAGCCTTAACATTATAAAGATATTGAAATTGGTTAAAAAGAGAAACTTTTATACATACAATATATAGTCCATGTGGTTTAATTATATATGTAAAATATCCCTTATTACTGAAAGTATACTGGAACAGCAACTCTTATATGCTGCTGGTTGTATAATATAATAATATATCATGAACTTTGTTATTTTTTAATTTAAATTTTACTTTTCAGTTACAGTTTACATTCAGTATTATTTTGTTTCAGTTTCAGATTCATATACTTTTCAAAGTGTTTTCCCTGGTATTTCCAGTACCCACCTGGCATCATACACAGTCATTACAATATTATTGACTACAGTCATTATGCTATAGTCTACATTCTTGTGACTGTTCAGAACTACAAACTTGTGCTTCTGAATCCCTTTGCCTTTCTCACTCAGTCCCCCAGGCCCCTTCCCCTCTGGTAACCACGACCCTGTTTTCTGTATCTAGGAGTGTTTCTGTGTTGGTTGTTTATTTGTTTAGTTCTTTAGATTCCACATATAAGATAAATCATATGGTATTTGTCTTCCTCTGACTGACTTCTTTCACCTTCCTAGAAGGATGGACCTTCTAGGTCCATCCATGCTGTGTAGCATGAACTTTAAACTACCCCTGGACCTAATAATTTTGCTTATAAGATTTATCCTAAGAGAGTAATCTAAGATATATATGAAGATTCTTGTACATGGATATTCATCTCAGCATTATTTATAATATTGAAAAACTAAAATCCAAATAGTAGATGAATGTTTAACCAAATGATACTATATTCACTTAATAGGATTGTATAGTCAAAACCATGTTTTGAAGAATATATAATGACTTGTACAAATGCCCATAATACAATGTTAATTTACTGGAAATATAAAAGAAATATGAGTTTTTTTAAAGATTTTATTTCTTTATTTTTACAGAAAGGGGAAGGGAAAGGAAGGAGAAAGAGAGGGAGAGAAACAGCAATGTGTGGTTGCCTCCTGCGTGCCTCCTACTGGGGACCTGGCCTGTAACCGAGGCATGTGCCCTGACTGGGATTCGAACCAGTGGCCCTTTGGTTTGCAGGCCTGCATTTAATCCACTGAGCCACACCAGCCAGGGCCAAATATGGGTATTTTATATGAGTGTAGGAAAAAATAATTGGAGAGAAATATTCCAAAGTAATGATGGTAGCTATTTATGAGTAGCAGTTATAACTGATTTTTATTACCCTATTAAAATTTTTCTTTATTTTACAAACATTATCCTGTAGAAATATTTTTATAATGAGAGCAAAGTAATGTCATGTACTTTTAACATGAAATGCATCTTCGAGCATTCATTGTTCATTGGAGAACATTGAAGTGAGTAGATAAAAGGGTAAGAGGGACATGAGATAAAGTATAGATGTTTATTAGATTATACCAGGAAATCAGAATGCTGAAGTTGGAGCAGACCAGAAATAAGGACTGACTGTGTAAGAGTATAATAATGTAGGGTTCACTTTTATGTTATAATTCTTACTACGTGTATTTTTAATCATTTAAAAATGCATATGTATGGAAAATTATTTTCTCGTGTTTTTATTGAGGTTTGCTGTTGAGGCCCATGACCCACTAGTTGAAGCACTAGTGACTGAGGCTTGGAGAAGACTGGAAAGGCAAGTACCCTGGGTTCTTCCTCTAAGAGCAGGGCTATCTTTTTCAGGGTTAGCATAATGAAATTTTGTAGGAAAAGAATGGGGACTGTGTTTTTCCTTAAGAGAGAGAAAACAGTATTTCAAATGTTTCCACTTTAAATTAAGAGTAGGGAACATAATGTGCTTTTTCACATTTATAATCAAAATATAAATGAGGTAGAGTCAGCTATTCATGACTGGCTTTTTAAAAAACATTTATTTTTATTTTTTAAAGATATTTTGTTGATTGTGTTATTACAATTATCCAGTTTTTTTCTCCCCTTTATCCCCCCTCTGCCCAGCACCCCCCCCATCCTCCAGCATTCCCCCCACCTTAGCTCATGTCCATGGGTTGTACATGTAAGTTTTTGGGCTTCTCCATTTCCTATAGTATTCTTAACCTCCCCCTGTCTATGTTGTGCCTACCATTTATGCTTCTCATTCCCTGAACCCTTTTTCCCCCCCATTCCCTCCCCCTCCCTACTGATAACCCTCCATGTGATCTCCATTTCTGTGATTCTGTTCCTGTTCTAGTTGTTTGCTTAGTTTTTGTTTTTGTTTTTTAGATTCAGCTGTTGATACTTGTGAATTTGTTGTCATTTTACTGTTCCTATTTTTGATCTTCTCCTTTTCTTAGATAAGTGCCTTTAACATTTCATATAATAAGGGCTTGGTGATGATAAACTCCTTTAATTTGTCCTTATCTGGGAAGCACTTTATCTGCCCTTCCATTCTAAGTGATAGCTTTGCTGGATAGAGTAATCTTGGGTGTAGGTCCTTGCCTTTGACTACTTGGAATACTTCTTTCCAGCCCCTTTTTGCCTGCAAGGTTTCCTTTGAGAAATCAGCTGATAGCCTTATGGGAACTACTTTGTAGGCAACTGTCTCCTTTCCTCTTGCTTTTCCTTCTCTCCTTCTAAGATTTTCTCTTTATCTTTAATCTTGGGTGACTTGATGATGATGTGCTGTGGTGTGTTCCTCGTTGGGTCCAATTTCTTTCGGACTCTCTGGGGTTCCTGGACTTCCTGGAAGTGTATTTTCTTCGTCAGATTGGGGAAGTTCTCCATCATTATTTGTTCAAATAAGTTTTGCATTTCTTGCTCTTCATTTTCTCCCTCTGGCACCCCTATGATTCAGATGTTCGAATGTTTGAAGTTGTCCCAGAGGTTCCTCAGCCTCTCCTCATTTTTTTGAATTCTTGTTTCTTCATTCTGTTCCAGTTGGATGTTTATTTCTTCTTTTTGTTCCAAATTGTTGATTTGAGTCCCAGTTTCCCTCCCTTCACGGTTGTTTCCTTGTTTATTTTGCTTTATTTCACTTTATATATCCTTCATTTTGTGACCCAACTCAATCATTTTTGTGAGTATCCTGATTACCAGTGTTTTGAACTCTGCATCTGATAGGTTATCTATCTCCTCTTTGCTTAGTTCTTTTTCTGGAGTTTTGATCTGTTCTTTCATTTGGGCCATATTTCTTTGTCTCAGTGTACCTGTTATATTCTAAGGGGCAGAGCCTTAGGTAGAGACCAGGGTGGGGCAACCAGGGCGGGGCAACCATGCTGTGTTGTGGCACTGTATATGGGGGAGGGATTAGAGGGAACAATCCTGCTTGCTGGGCTCTTGCCTCACTTTCTGTCACTTCCCTTGCTTCCCACAAGCAAATTGGGCCCTTTTGGTAATGATTCATGGGTGGGTGTGTTTATGTACATTCTAGGACCTTGTGGATCTGTCCAGTGAACTCTCCTGTAAGTCTGGGAGTTTCTCCCACTGCTGCAATACCCACAAAATTTTACAGCCAGAGTTTTTGAGGCTTTATATTCCAGAGCCAGAACACTGGATTGCACAGTTTTTTTTGCTCCCCAGTTGTTCCTCCTGGTTATTGGCACGTGAATGTGGGAAGTTCTGCCTGTCAGCTGCTGCCTGGCCCACCTTGTCCACTGTTTCGCTGTGTGTCCTCTCTGTCCAGCTCCCCATCTCTGACCCTTCTACCAGTCTGGATGAATGTTTCATCTTTAAATCCTTGGTTGTTGGACTTCTTTGCAGTTTGATTTTCTGGCAGTTCTGTTTTTTTGTTTTGTTTTGTTTTTAAATTGGTTGTTATCCTTCTTTTGGTTGTGTGAGGAGGCAAAGTGTTTCTACCTATTCTCCATCTTGGCTGGAATCTAATTTTTTTTTATCCTAGGTTTTGTTTATTGATTTTATTTATTTTTTTAAAGTTTTTAAAAAGATCTTATTTATTTATTTTTAGAGAGGAAAGGAAGGGAGAAAGAGAGAGAGAAACATCAATGTGCAGTTGCTGGGGGCTGTGGCCTGCAACCCAGGCATGTGTCCTGACTGGGAATTGAACCTGCGATGCTTTGGTTCGCAGCCCGTGCTCAATCCACTGAGCTATGCCAGTCAGGGCTGTTTATTGATTTTAGAGAGAGAGGAAGGGGCAGGGAGAGAGGTGGGGAGAGAGAGACAGAGAGAGGGAGTGAAACATCAACTGGTTGCCTCCCAACCAATTGTTCCCCCTCCCAGCATGTACCTGCAACCTATGTATGTGCTCTGACCAGGGATCAGACCTGCAACCTTTTGGTGTACTAGATGACACTCCAACCACTGAGCCACCTGGCCAGGGCCATGACTTGCATTTTTTTATCTTCTTTTTATAAGAGTTCTGCTTCAGAAAGAAAAGATTCTCTGAGTGATAGGCAGTTAGTTGAAACCTAGAAATTCATGAGCCATAAAAAGAGAAAAAAGAAGATAGCAGTTTACTAGAAAGGAAACACTTTAATAGTCTATCCTTCTTTCTTTATGGAAAGGCAAAGAACAGAGCTCATAGATGACTTAGGAGCTTTCAGGTCCATTGCTGTGAATAGTATCAATTCAGATTTATTTCCTAATTTACAAACACAGCTCTTTCCAGTGAGTTATAATCAATAATCGTCGAAATAATGTGAAATTTGTTCAGGCTATTTTTAAAAATATTTTATTTATTTATTTTTAGAGAGGAGAAGGGAAGGAGAAATAGAAACATCAATCAGTTGCATCTTGCTTGCACCCTGACTGGGGGCTGAACCCTCAACCCAAGCATGTGCCCCAACTGGGAATGGAACCCTTACTCTGCTGGAGGACATCCAGCCAGCTGAGCCACACTGGACACGGCTGTTCAGAGTATTTTTTTTTTTAAGATTTTTTTTAAAAGTTTATTTATTTATTTATTTATTTATTTATTTATTTATTTATTTATTTTTAGAGAGGGGGATGGAAGGGAGAAAGAGAGGGAGAGAACCATTAATCTGTGGTTGCCTCTAATGTGCCCCCACACTGGGAATCTGGTCCACAACCCAGGCATGTGCCCTGAAGGGAATTGAAACGGCAACCCTTTGGTTTGCAGACTGACACTCAAATCCACTGAGCCACACCAGCCAGGGCTTATTTTTTTATAATACAAAATTATACAAACTCTAATTTGTATTTCATATATAGAATTTCTAAGAGTCAAAGAATAAACATTAATTTATGATTTTTTAATAGTCTCTGTGCGCTGTGATATTTCTTCACTACAATATCTATTAGTCAATGATTTTGTTAAATTTATGAATTTGTGTTACATAAATATAATTTGTAATGATTCAAATAGGATAGATTATTATGATTGCATGTGATGGATCTCAACAAGGATAATAACATATATTTGAAATTCAAATGGAAGATTTTTTTTAAGATTTTATTTATTTATTTATTTTTAGAGAGGGAAGGGAGGGAGAAAGAAAGAGAGAGAAACATTAATGTGCAGTTGCTGGGGGCCGTGGCCTGCAACCCAGGCATGTGCCCTGACTGGGAATCGAACCTGCTACACTTTGGTTCGCAGCCCGCGCTCAATCCACTGAGTTACGCCAGCCAGGGCAAAATGGAAGATTTTAAATATTTATAAAAATAAAGAGATTAGTTTAATGAACTCCCATGTACCCATCATTCAGCTTATCCAATTACCAATGTATAGCAGTCTTGCTTTATCTATATCACTTCCCATTCCCTATTTCCCTTCAGTATATATATATTTTAAAATTATATTTTATTGATTATACTGTTACAGTTTTCCTGATTTTTTCCCCTTTGACCCCCCAGCATTCCTTACCCCTTCAGGCAATCCCCCCATCATTGTTAATGTCCATGGGCCATGAGTATAAGTGTTTTGGCTACCCTCTTTCCTATACTGTACTTTACATTTCCATGGCTATTCTGTAACTACCTATTTGTACTTCTAAATCTTTTCACCTCTTCACCCATTCTCCCCTCCCAACTGGCAACCTTCTGGTAACTTCTTTTTTCTTGCTTTTAAGAGTCTCTCTTTATCTTTAATCTTTGCCCGTTTAAGAATGATGTGTCTTGGAGTGGGTCTCTTTGTGTCCATCATAGTTGGGAGACTCTGTGCTTCCTGGCCTTGCATGTATATTTCCTTCACCAAATTAGGGAAGTTTTCTTTCACTATTTTTTCAGACAGACTTCCAATTTCTTTCTCTTTCTCTTCTCCTTATGGCACCCCTGTGAGACAAATGTTGGACATCTTTAAGTTGTCCCAGAGGCTGTTTATACTATTCTCATTTTTTTGGATTCTTTTTTCTTCCTTTCTGTGTGGTTGTTTTTTGCTTCCTTATTTTGATTTGATTTCATTTCATCAAATCATATCATTGATTTGATTCTTGGCTTCATTTATTCTACTGTTGTTTCCCAGTAAATTGTTCTTCATTTCAGTTAGTGTATCCTTTATTTCTGACTGGATATTTTTTATGCTGCTTGAGGTCCTCACTAAGTTCCTTGAGCATCCTTATAACCAGTGTTTTGAACTCTGCATCTGATAAACTGCCTATCTCCATTTTGTTTAGCTCTTTTTCTGGAGTTTTAATCTGTTCTCCATTTGGGCTGTATTTCTTTTGGCAGTCTCTCTGTGTTTGTTTGTATATATTAGGTAGAGCTGCTTTGACTCCATGTCTTGGTTGTGTGGCCTAATGTAGTAGGTATCCTCTAGGGTCCAGTGGCATAGCCTCCTCATCACTCAAGCTTGGTACTTGAGGTGCACCCTTTGTATGGACTGAGTACATCCTCCTCTTATAGTTGAGCCTTGGTTGATGTTGGCAGATCAATGGGAGGGACTTACCCAGGCCAGTTAGCCACAAGGATTGGCTGTGACCACTGTCCACTAACCTCCACCCTCTGTGGAGGATCAGCTGTGCATGGGCAGGGTGGTGGTGCTCCGATGTGGTCTGTAGCTGTCCCCTAGGTGCATTGGCCCTGGGGTTTCCCAGGTAGTGCAGGCCAAGGGGAGCCCCTACCTGTGTTTTACCTGGGGCACCCTGCCCGAGCCATAAATTAATCTGAGATGGCTGCTGGGCTTGGAGATTCCCAGGTGAAGCCAAGCTGTGACTCTAGTCTGGGCTCACTGAAGCCAGCTATTTCTTGTTTTATAGGATTTAGGAGCTAAGACCAGCCATTGATATGGAAAAGCAGCATGGGTGGTCCTGTAAGTTGGGTGAGGTGGTGTCTCTGTGGACCTCCAAGGTGAGGTGGGTCACATAGTGTTAGTCAGGTTGATGGATTCTCAGGTATGGCACCAGTCTATGGGCTCTGTGAGTGGAGGGCTCAGCAATGGGACCATGTCCTCTGCTCGCCTTCATGCCATACACTTAAGCCTCTCCCTGTATACCACTGGCCACTGGTGCCTTTCAAGCTGCCACCCTGGTGCTGGAGCTCAGAGGGAGTGAGTCTGAGTAGGTGAGTCTGTGTGTGGGTTCCCCAAGAGGAACTGCGTAGGGCTGTAGTAGCCTCCTCCACTGATTCAATCCCTACTGGTTTTCATAGCCGGAAGTTGTGAGGACTTATCTTCCTGGCACTGGAACCCTGGGCTGGGGGGTCTGGTGTTGTTCTGGGACTCCTCGCTCAGATATATCTCCTGAATTTTTATCCATGTGGGTGTGGGGCCATCCCGTTCTGCCTCTGAGCCCCTCCTACCAGTCTTGATGGATGTGGTTTCTTCAATTCTGTAATTGTCAGACTTCCATTTAACTCTATTTCAGACATTCCTGAGTAATGGTTGTTCTGTATTTTAGTTGTAATTGGTGTGGTGCGAAGAGGCAAACCATGTCTGCCTGTGTCACCATTTTGACTGGAAGCCAATAGTATTTTAAATTGTTATTTAATTTGTAAATACCTTAGTATGTAATTTTAAGAGATAAGTACTCTTTTAAATATATATATTATCCCAATGCCATTATAATACTAAGAGTGTTAATAATAATAACTTAATATCACCTAATACCTGTTTTGTGTTCAAATCTCTTTCATTGTTCTGTAAAGGTCTTTATAGGTGATTTATTTAAATTAGTATCCAAAGAAAGTCCACACATTACATTTGGTTGCTTTGTCTCAAGGTTTTCTCTTTTTGTAATTAAACATTTGATTGAAGAATATCATATAAAATTTCACCAATCATAAATGTACAGCTTGATGAATTTTCACATACTGATCACTTCAGGGCAATAGCACAAGATTAGTGAACACCAAAACTTCCTTTTATGCACTCTTCCAGTCATATCCCTTCCCCCTAGTGATAACTAGGGTGATAAGTGATAAGTTAGTTAGTGGTAACTAACCACTCTCTTGATTTCTCAAGTATTAGTTTTTCTAAAATGGAAATGGAATCCTATAGTATGTACTCATACCTAGTTTAGTTCGCTCAGTATATTTTAAAGAGTTATCCATGATGTTGTATGGTTCAGTAGTTTGTTCTTATTGTGGTGTGGTATTCTATAAATATGTGCAACTTATCCATTGTGCCGTTAATGGACATTTAGATTATTTGCAGGTTTTTGCTATTATGTGTTGGGCTGCTGTGAACTCTATATGTTTATCCTTCAGTGAATTTGAAGTCTTTTAACATCATAACAATTCTCGTTTTCTCACTTTCACCTTGCCATTTACTTGTTGAAGAAATAAGGTCATTTTTCCCTATAGAAAAATTCTGAAGTTTTTCATAGCACTGTTGTAGTAGTGATTGTTTTTGTTTGTTAATATACAATCTCCAATTGAAATTGTTCTGTCTCCTCAAAAATAAGTAAATGATTCAAATAATTTTGAATAATTTTTCCCTTTTTAAAATCTTCTACTAGTATCTGATTTTTTTAACTGTTAGCATGGGCTACCTTTATAATAACAAATCATCAACATTTTAGAAAATTTCATTCTAAAGTAGTAATGTATTAGTAATAATATAATAGTATTTTTATTGCTTTTTATTTTACAACTGTTTTTTATGTTTTAAGTGAAAGTAAATATTTTTTATCTTTCCTCAATAGGTTTGATATTCAGGTGCTGTCAAAATTTTCCTCTTGCCTAGTAGATCAACATTTATATTTTAGTCCGTTAATGGGGAAAATAGCTGATATTGTAAATCGGAACTTGGAAACCATACAGGACTTAAGGTAAATTTATTTAGAAGCTTTGTGCTGTGGTGGAAAGATTCTGGGCTTTGGACACATGCATACTTAGTTTGGTCATTTCCTTTTCATGTGACTTTAACTGTTTGGGAAGTTTAATATCTTCATTTATAAAATAGGAATAGTAGTGTATCTACTTTGCAGTGTTGCTGTGGGAATTAGAGATAAATTATCTAAAGTATAACACAATATTGTTGAAAGGTTTGAGATTTTACCTTCCTGGCAAACTAAATTTGCCTGTCTCCCTTTTGACCTCATCTAACCTTAATTACCTCCCTAAAGGCTTTATCTCCAAATTTACTTACATTGTGGACGGGACTTTAACATATAAATTTTTAGGGGACACAGGTCAGTCCATAACATACCAATGTTCATAGCAGTATTAGTCACGATTGCGAAAAGATTTGGAAACAGCCAAACTGTCTATTAACAGATGAATGGACAATCAATATGTGGTACATACATACAGTGGAGTTATTCAGCCTTCACACGGAGGGAAATTCTGATATCTGCTACAACATGGGTGGGCTGCTAAGTGAAATAAGCCAGACACAAAAGGGCAAATACTGCATGATGCTGCTTAATATGAGTTACCCAGAGTAGTAGTCCAAGTCATCGCAACAGGGTAGAATGTCTGTTTTGGGGTTGGGAGGGGAGGAAAATGGAGAGTTACTGTTTCATCAGTAAGGAGTTTAGTTCAAGAAGATGAAAGTATTCTACAGGTGGACGGTGGTGATGGTTGCACAGCATTGTGAATGTACTTAATACCACTGTACTGTACACTTAAAAATGTTTAAAATGGTAAATTTTATATTACGTGTATTTTCATGCCCACATGAAAGTAGCTTGTAAAAGCAGACAATAAAAATTGTAAATTATGTTAACTTTTAAAAATTCTTGAAGTCCTCTGAAATCTAACAAAATCTTTGGACATTTTCCCATTCCAAACTGCAGTTACAAATATTTAAAAAAAAAAATCATTTCAGGAGTCTTTATGGTAAAACTAAATAGCATTGTTAGGTTACTAATTAATGTTAATGTTAACATTAAACATTTTGATTAGAGAAGCCAGAGTCTTGTACAACTAGGTCTTTAAAAATAGGTTTATTTTATTGAAAAGATTAAAGAAATTTGGAAACAAAAATAATGTAAAAGTTCCACTACGCTAATGGTTGAGATCATTTCAAATTTATATTTTGTCTTTTTTTGTATTGTTTTGTTATCATCCCCAATTATTTGTTATATGTTTTTTCCATTTTGCATTCTTTATTCATTATGAATGTATTCTTGTATTTGTGGTTTTCGGATTTTTGTATTATGTAAAAACTGCCATTTGAAAGCAGGGACCTCACTTTTGTAATTTTGGTGTCTTCCAGGTGCCCAGAAGAGTGATTTATGTTCTTTAAAAGTATTTATTTAGAGAGCCCTGGCTGGTGTGGCTCTGTGGATTGAGCACAGGCCTGTGAACCAAACAGTCCCTGGTTCAATTCCCAGTCAGGGCACATGCCTGGGTTTCAGGCCAGGTCCCCAGTGAGAGGGCACATGAGAGGCAACCATACTTTGATGTTTCTTTCCCTCTCTTTCTCCCTTCCCCTCTATCTAAAAGTGAATAAAATCTTTAAAAAATTTTTTTTAAGTATTTACTTAGTGAATATGTAGTAAGTGCTACTTTATGTTTGGTGTTGTCTGTTATATTAATATTAATCTAGCATGAAACATTAAAAATATAAAATTATTCGTGAGATATTTTGCCAAGATTTTATTATTAAATTACAGATACACAGAGAAAGGAGTAATAAAGTGAAATTCTACCAAAAATACAAAATGAGACTTGTCATTTAGTGTATTACACTAAAATATTTTCCTTCAAAGCAGATAGCTGTAGAATGAGATACTGTACAGTCTCAGTAAAAGATATTTCAATGCTTTTTTTGTCCAAAGGGGTTCAATTACTGGAAGATCTGAGTCAAGTCCTGCTAGTATTTAAAAGAAAAATTTTGTGTCATGAAACGCATAATATTTTTACTAGTTCCTTTCTATATCTATTCTTTTAGTCTTAAAATTGTTCATGATTCTTATATAATGTAAAAAAAAATCTTTGCATCTTTTTTCTTTTTCAGGTCCTTGTCTGTTTTGATGGTTAGCATATCTTCTTTAACATCACAACGTTTTCAAGAACAATTAGTGAACAAAACAGAACGTCTTTTTGACACCATAGATTCTTCCCAGGTCAACATTGCAAGAAGAATAGTACAATTTCTTCGAAATATTAAATACAGTTATTACCCATTATTAGAAAGGTGTAATAAGATGTTTTTAAGCAACATGAACAACCTTGATTTGGAGTCAATCAGTAAAATACTTAGTCTATACCACTCTCTACAGTTTCATAGTTTTGAATTTGTGTTAATGGCCAAAAAGAGGCTAACCGAAATGATTCCTCTATTTGATCACCCTGCTAGCTTTGTGAAATTGTTTGTAGCATTGGGACCCATGGCAGGACCTGAAGAAAAGACACAGTAAGTTTAGTTAAAAATGCTTTATTTTTTCTGTGGAGAACTTATGGAGTCTTTAAGCTTAAATCTTCCTGCAGTCCTGGAAGGCACAAAAATTAACCCATTCATCAAGAGAATGGGAAATAATCTTACATGCTCTGTTTCTTGATTCTTTCTCTGTGATTATTCTTATTTATACCTCAAACTCTTATTCTGCTATTGTGTTCTGAAACGGGGCCAGTGACCCCCTGGTGGTCAACATAATGGTGCATGGGGGAGAACACCATTTAAGTGTTTTTATTTTCATTTAGGTTTTTTTTATTGACTTTTTTGGGACCACTTAAATGTTTCTATTCTCTGTTCCTGGGCCATGAGACTGGCTTTAACACAAATATAAGACTTCCCAACCCAGTGCAGGCTGTGGACTATTGAGAATTATAATAGCCATTAACAATGGACCATTTTTTGCTTTGGCTTCACATTCATCATCAGAGGCACTTAGTATGCACATTGGCATATATTCTCATGTCAGGCTTCAGTGCATTTGATCTAGCTCCCATATTTGAAGAATTTCCAGTATTTCCAGATACTAATGTAGATAGAAATTTTAAAGATATAAAAATGAGCAAATACTATGTATGTGATTACTGATATGAACAAACTTAAAAGTACTATTAGTGGGTTAGTTAAGTAGGGGTTCCAGAGAATTGCATAATAGAAGTATCAGCATCATTACTCTGTTAGCCAATACTTCATGGAGAGTTTTATTTTTAAGAATCCTTTGAATTGTATTGGAAGAAATTTAAGGATACAATTTAAGAGACTGTATCAAGATGAGGTCATAATTATTTTACAAAATTTTATTGGAATCTTTTTTTTGTCACAAAGTATTGTTAAAATCTCATGCTAAAGTAGTACAAAAGTTGAATTTAACTGGGTCCCTGCTTTTGAGGACTTCATAGTCTAATTGGGAGGAGAGAAATATATAATTGAAATATGTGAATACAATGACACTGCAATATAATTTATGATTAAGTACCATATTCAAATTAGTGATTCAGACAGTGAGTGCTGTGGGCAGACCGAAAAGTGAGGAAAATGTGGGCTGCAGTGGCGGGGAAAAGCTGTTAGTAGCTGGGCTTGATGAGTCTGCTGAAAGAGGAGGTGTGGAGTAGTGTGAGTAGAAAATTAGTTGATCCTGATGTCTTCAGATTTCATGTTTTGGGCTTGTCTTCTAAAAGACAAGTATTCAAATACTTTTTATTACTACACTACTTTGGATGGTTTCAGAATGGACCATCTTTATAATTTTTCAGTGTAGAGGGTTACAGCAACTACTAAGTATACAAGATTTCTGTTAATGTGCAGATATACTGACCTGATCAAATCTTACTCAATTTAAAAAAATCGGGATATTGTTAAAATGTCAGTTAATTCTTTAGCTCTCATACTGAATCATTTCACTGAATTATTACATTTTTATTACCATTGTAACCTTATCTAATTTGAAAATCAGTTTAAAAACTTGTCTATTTTTAAAGACAGTTTAAGATTAGATTATACTAGACCTTAATTACTTTGAAAAAAAAGTATTTTTATCTGATTTTGAAACTATATACATATTTGAATTCAGTTTTTCTTCATATTATTTCTTTTCTGTTTATTACCTGAGGACTGTTACTTAAAATATTTTTAATAAACTAATATAATTTTTTCATCATAAAAATATTTCTCTTTGCTTCTAGACTTGAATCAACTATACTACTGATGTCAGAGGAGCTGACCGGCCAGCAAGCCCTGGCAGTGATGGGAGCAATGGAAGAGATGGAAACCAGAGATTCACGTCTGATCAAAAAGTAGTCCTTCCTGAAATTCATGCTGCTAAGTTCAGTTGTCATTCATAAGTAGTAGCTATGTTTTTGAGGGAAAATTACGTTTTTTCCCCTATAATCTAGCTGTTGGTTTTGCAGAAATGAGGAATTAACACTTAAGGTATTCTTTATTTCCAAAAAGGCTGTTTTTCAAAATAGAGATTCTAAAATTGTTTATAGCCTTTTTCATTTCATGTGCTACTGTTGTTATTCTGAAGCAGAGTGTCATAATCTAGGAAAGTGGAGAGCATAGAGCAGGACCCTAATTTTCAAAAGGACAGTTTCTGCTAAATAGTTAACATGTCTGTAAGCTTGAATTGTTTCACACCACAGTTGTTACCTTGAAATCACATACCATATCTGGACTTTTTTGTTAACTTGAAATTTAGGAAGGAGAATTTTCATAGTTCAGTTTATATACAGGGTCTGGCAGAAGTAATGGCTGCTTGAGTGTGGTTGGTAGGGTGATAATATGGGTGTGATAATTTATCGTTTTAATTTGAACATTTTACCTGAAATGTCATATGGTGTGCTTGAGTGTAATATTATTATATTACAGAATTACTTATGATTTCATAATGAAAGATTTTATAATTAAAAAAGGATGTTATTTGTGTCATACCCTGTAATGTAATTTTTTATTATCATTATATATTCCTTTTTAAAAATATTCCACCTGTCCTATTCCTTCAACTTACTGTTTCTTAGCATTTCCCATTGCTTTTAAGCATCTGTATTAGAGGGCCAGTAGATTTAAGGAAGAAAATTAAATCAGTTTTGCTAATTGTTAGTAACTGTTGGTAAAGATTTTTGAGGGCGGAGGTTTTGGAATTTAATGGCTCTGTTCTGTGAGATTTTTTTATTTAGGAAGTAAATCTATGCTTTTCTCTCTTCTTACTGTTGATAATTAAATATTTCCCACTTCATTGATAGCTCTTACCTCATTCTATTTTGTTACATTTCTATCACCATCTTTTTAAAATTAATTTTTAAAAGATTTTATTTCTTTACTTTTAGAGAGGGAAGGGAGGGAGAAAAAGAGAGAGGGAGAAACATCAGTGTGTGGTTGCTGAGGGTCATGGCTTGCAATCCAAGCATGTACCCTGACTGGGAATTGAACCTGTGACACTTTGTTTCGCAGCTCTCACTCAATCCACTGAGCTACGCCAGCCAGGGCTTAAAATTAATTTATGTTTATTTTTCAGTTACATTTGATGTGCAGTATTATTTAGTTTCAGGTGTACATCATAATGGTTAGACACATAACTTATGAAGTGATAATCCCCCTCCTCCCCACTAAGTCTAGTACCACCTGGCAACGGTTCTGTCACCATCTTGAACAGCTCTGCAAGAACACAAAATCTTGTCTCATTCATTGCTGTTTCTCTAGCACAGAGCATGTCTGGCATGGCAGGAGCTCCTCAGTAAATGTTTAATAAATAAATGAATGAACTGGTTATAATACATGTTTTATCATTCTTTTTAGAATTGCTTCAATTCTGCATAAGAATTTGGATAATTATAAACCAATAGAGTTATTGAAGATAAGTCAAGCATTGACTTGTCTACATTTCCAAAGTAAAGAGCTCTTTGTGAGACTTAGAGAATTACTGCTTAGGTAAGATTAAAGTATAATTGTTTGTTGAGTCTTTTATTTATTATCTAATCTTTCAAGTTGTAATCTAGTTTTGTTTAATTATGTAAAGAGTTGTGGAACTTTTGGAGTTAGAATTAGGTAGCTTATTAAAAATGTTGACACTTACTTTCCCCATGCCCATTCTGCCTATGCTTATACTTGGTATATTTTGAAATGGAAATGAGGCCAGTAAGGTGATGAGTTCCCTAGGGCATGAACAGTAAAAGTCAAGCCATTCTCTTGCCTGCAGGCATAGAATAATCATGAAACTATTGGAGCTGCTGAAGAAGGTGATATGAATTTAGGAACATTCATATTTATGGGCCTTCAGTTGTCTTCTTGCTTGTTTTAAGGAAGATGATTTGAGTTTTGGTGGTGGGTACATAATGCAATATACAGATCATGTATCAAACATGTATATTTCAGACCTCTATGATTTTACTAACCAATGTAGTTCCAATAAATTTAATTAAATTTTTATGTGTAATTTTAAAAATAAGATATATAAAGGAAATGTTAGTGAAAAGGTATTTTCATACAGAATTTTTCCTTTATAATGTAAAATTCTCTGCTTTTTTATGAATGTAGCATTCACATTTCAGCTAAGGAGTTACTCAGTTTTCCATTGACTTTCATTATAGTAAAGTGGAGTTTCCTATTACAAATTTCCATTTTAAAGGTCAGAATAATAACTTCAATGAAATGATATAATTCAGTTTGCTATAGGTATGTTAATAGAAAAAAAATAAGAGTGGGAGTGTCAAAGAAGATTTCATTTCAACTGTAATGTTTCATTTCCTTTATAAAAAGATTGAAGCAAATGTTACGATGTTGAAGTTTACGATTTCTTTTTTTAATTTTTAAATTTTTAAAAAATCCTCATCTGAGGATATGTTTATTGATTTGAGAGAGAGGTAGGAGGGTGGGGAGAGAGAGAGAGAAAGAGAAACATCACTGTGAGAAACATTAATTGGTTGCCTCCCGTGTGTGCCCTGACCTGGGATCAAACCCACAACCTTTCAGTGTAGGGAACAACGCTGCAACCAATGAGCCTCCTGGCCAGAGTGAAGTTTAGTAATTTTTGTAGCGGGAGCCCTTATATGTCTGTATAATTTAAATTTTTTTCAAAAAATTAGTTGGGAGATGTTATGTAAGATCATAGGGGCTTATGCTTCAGAATTACCTGTCCCCACTTCAGTACAGATTGTGTGAAAGCACTTAATCTAATTAAACTAGTTCATATAAATGTTTATATAAATAGCTTCTGGAATTATATTTATTTATTTATTTAAAGATTTGATTTATTTTTAGAGAGAGGAAGGGAGGGGGAGAGGGAGAAAACATCAAAAAGTAGAAAAATACATTTTTTAACATACTGAATTATAATCTACATAAAATATATATCCCCTCATCATCCTGTTCCCTTCAAACCTCCCCCCAGGTTAATTACTACCCCTACTCTTAACTCCTTGGATTAATTTGTCTGTTTTGTGTAGATTCTTTTGCTCAATTTTTTATGAGGTTTACCTATGTTTTTGCAGTATAGTATTCATAAGAATATAACAAAGTTAATTTTTTTATCCATTCTTCTGTTGATGTATATCTAATTTATTTCCAGCTTTTGGCTATTATAAGTAGTGCTATTATGAATAATATCCTTGTACATATTTTTTAGTGAACACGCGTATGCATTTCTGTGGATATTTACCAAGGAGTATGCAGTGACTGGACTAGCCACTTCCCATGTACAGAATGTGAGCGTTCCATTTGCTTCACAATATTCCCAACACTTGGTCTTTTTTCCTAATTTTAGCCATGCTGGTGGCTATGTGGTGATATAAATAAACACACATGCAGATGTAAATTTTGGAATTTGAGGATGAATCTCAAGGAAAAGCATCAGTTGGAGGTTAGAGAGATTTTGTTGGGGGTTTATTTTTATACAAGTATCACAAGTATTCCCAAGTGTTGGGAAGTATTGAGAGTTCTATCCCTTGAGTCAATTCTGCAATTAGATATGGCTTTGGGGGGCTTTCTTTTTTATATATAAGACAGTGTATTAATTTTTCATGGTTATAAATAAAATACTCATTGAGTGCTTACTCAGTACTTACTCAGTACTGTCTCAGGCACTGCACCAAATATTATGTAAAAATCATAAGGTTTTTTTTTTTTAGTTCAGAGGGCGATGATTGGGTATACATGATGATTGGGTATTCATGCTATTATCTCCCTCTGTTCCTCAAACTTTTTTTAAAAATTAAATTTATTGGGATGACATTGGTTATAAGATTATATTGGTTTCAAGTGTATAATTTTATGATATATCATCTTTATATTGTATTGTGTGCTCACCATCTAAAGTCAAATCTTCCATCACCACATATTTGACTCTCTTTACTCTTTATTACTCCCTCACCCCCCTTCCCTCTGGCAACCATCATACCATTGTCTGTGTCTATGAATTTTTGTTTGTCGGATCTTTTTATGATGTCAGTACGTTACCTGTCTGATATGAAAAAAAATTTGAAAGAAAAAGTCATTTATAAAACTGTTCACCTACTGTGAACATTTGGTTTATTTCCTTGTGGTATATACTTACATACATATGTATGTACATACATATTTTTTCTTTCATAGTTAAGAATCATGAACATGCAGTTTTGATTCTTATTTTATTTCCCACATTTAACCTTACCACCATTTCCCTACGTCATTTAGAACTATTTGTAAATGATTTTTTAAAAAGATTTTATTTATTTAGTTTTAGAGAGGGGAAGGGTAGGAGAGAGGGAGAGAAACATCAGTATGTGGTTGCCTCTTGCATGCCCCCTACTGAGGACCTGGCCCACAACCCAGGCATGTGCCCTGACTTGGGATTTGAACTGACAACCCTTTGATTTGCAGGCTGGCATTCAATCCACTGAGCCACATCAGCCAGGGCCTATTTGTAAATGTTTTTAACAACTGGATATTACCAATCATATGACTACTGTAATTCATTTATGTATTTTTCCATCACTGGGTAGATTGTTTTCAAATTTTAGCCACATTAAAAATATGATTAATAATGTCACACAAGTCTTTGCCTACATTTTAGATTATTTTCTTAGTATAGTTCCCTCAACAGGGATCATGTCAAATGATATACTTATAAAGTTCTTCAACCATACTGTTAAATTACTTTCCAGAAAGGTTATAGCAACTTTAAAGTTTACAAATAGTGAATGAGAATACCTGTATCAGTGTACTCTTGCTAGAATTGAATATTATGTTTATGTCAATATGCTTATTTACTACTTTAAAAAGTAACTTAATTTTGTTTTAATTTAGATTTGACTATATCTTCTAGTACTTCTAAACCTAAAGATTCTTTAAAAGCTCCCAGTTTTTTATTTGATTTTAACAGCTGCTGTCCTGGTGGTAGGAATCTTACCATGGAGGTTTGGGAAAGTCAGAATAAGGAATGGAGTCAGCCCTGGTTGGTGTGGCTCAGTGGATTGAGTGCTGGCCTGCAAACCAAAGGGTCGCCGGTTCCATTCCCAGTTAAGGCACATGCCTGGGTTGTGGGCCAGGTTCCCAGTAGGGGGTGTGCAAGAGGCAGCCACACATTAATGTTTCTCTCCCTCTCTTTCTCCCTCCCTTCCCCTCTCTCTAAAAAATAAATAAATAAAATCTTTTTAAATTTTCAAAAAAAGAGAGAGAGAATGGAGTCAATTGTATGTATTTTCTGGGATTTTTTAAGGCTAGACTTCCTGTATAGCAAAAGTAAAATAAGAACCAATATAATTGAGTGATTACTGTATGGCAGTGCCTATACTGGGTACCAGCTCCTGACAGGTCATATCAGAAATTCTTTAGTCCAAATTCTGTCTCTAGCAACAGCACTGGAAAGAAATATTCTGATGATGTTCTGACATTGACCTTTTGTTTGCAGCAACTGTGGTTTTGTTTTTGCATAAAAAGTTTGGAATGTGCTTTAGATTATCTTAGGGCTTCCCTTAGTAACTCTTTATGGACATGTCATCTTTGAATTAGTTAGCCCTTCCTAAATTAACTTGTATTTTTAGCCTATCCCACCTATGAATTATAATAATTACATACTCATATTATATATGTTACTTTATATGTTTTGGCTTTTGTTACTGATGTATTAATTTTGTTCTTTTCACTCTCCCTCTTTTCTTTATAGTTACTTGAAAATTAGTGTCAAACCTAGTGAGATCTCTGTCCTGGTCTCTGCTATTTCTATGCTTCCATCTCCTCACCTAGATGAAGCGGGGATATCTCGAATTGAAGCAGTTTTACCACAGTGTGACCTAAATGACCTGAATAGTTTTGCCACATCTGTTTTGAGATGGATTCAGTATGGTCACGTGTATCTGGATAATACTACTGGAAAACAGCTGAAACTACTTCAAAAATTAGATCACTATGGTCATCAGAGACTACAAAAATACAACAATCTGAATCTGTTATGGGAAGAACTTAGATCTTTGAAAGGAGACTGGTTTGCTGAGTCACTTCTTGAAGATACAATTGCTACTTTGCAGTGTTTGATGGATCAAATTAATTACATAAATGTTGCAGGAATTGCATCCTTTATCTCTAGAAGTAACTACCTCAATACTTTGCTGCTTGATAAGATAGCCTCAGTGGTCCTTCAGCAGATTGAAAAGGTGAATTTGAAACTTCACATAGTTTTATATAGTTGTCAACTTGTAAAAACATAAATGCTTATCATGAAAACTTTGAGAACTTGATTAGAATTTGAAGTTTAGAAATTAAAGTCTGGTTTTTGGTTCAGTAATTTGTTGTTTCTCTCCTTAAGCCCTTTTTCTCCAGCATTGCAGTTAGGGGCAGACTGTTAAGATCAGTAATCAAATTTCATTGACTAGAAAATACTTAAAGCAATACTGGTTGTATTAGGATATTAGAGTACAAATGATTTTTTTCCCCTTTTCCTTATTTTCTGTAATCCTGTGATACTACTTTTGCTGTTTAAAAACAATTACATTCAAAAGTGTGAGAGTAGTGTGAAACAGAAAATTATAAGGTATCTACTGACTTCAGTACAGCTGACTGTTGAATAATGTGGTCAATCCTCATGTAAGTTTTAACTCCCCCAAAATGTAATCACTGATAGTCTGTGGTTGACTGGATAACATAAACAGTTGATTAACACATATTTTGTATGTTATATGTACTATATACTGTATCCTTAAAGTAAGCTAGAGAAAAAAAATAAGATTATAAGGAAGAGAAAGTACATTTATAGTATTTATTGAAGAAATTCTGCGGATAAATGGATCTGTAGTTCATTCAAAGCTGTGTTTAGGGTGTACTGTATCTTAAATTGTCAGTGTGTCTTCCTACAAATTCATTCCTGGAACTTACTTACAAAATGCTGCCTTTTGTGTTAAATGAGAAGCTCACAAAATTTACTGTATATATAAGGGTAAGGCTTTTACTTAGTATTTCTCTCAAATGAAAATAAAAGTGTGTCTTATTTGCTTAGCATATTTCTTGGCAGTATTGGATGAATGAGTGAATAGTGAAATAAAGTGAATGAAAGACAGATAAATTCTGGTGATTATAAACTAAGAAACTCCATTAATTACATTATGTAAGTCTATAAAATGCCCTGATATATATTTTAGTGATACTGTTTCCCATTCATTTTTATGACTAGTGAATTTCTAGAGTGGGATTTTTATACCTAACAAAATTAATTTGTAAATTATCTGACTTAACTTTTCTTTATAATACTCAGAGTTACTAGAAATTAATGGTAGGGTAGAATAGATTATACCAGGGTGGAAAAATTAATAAACAGAGTGATACATTCATTGTTTAACTATAGGCATGTTCATTTAACTATAGACATGTTAAAAAAACACTCCTACCTAAAATAATTAGGTTACAATTTTGTTTTACTGAAGTTTAAACTAAACATTTTTTGTTCTGTTTGTACAGATCCATCCTTTTTCGATCTTTTCTATTATTCTGCCTTTTAGCATCTTGAACTATGATCCACCTCAAAGGGATGAATTTTTTGGAACTTGCATTCAACACCTTAACCCTTACTTATGTAGGTATATTGTTTGGTACTAAGTTGAATGAGTAGGTGGGAGGATACTGTTGCTGATACTTCTCATTTAGAGGGCAACCGTAATAGCTGTGGGTGCTATACCTAAAAAAAGTTTGTATTCATTTTTGAAACTTTATTATTAAGAAAAATGTTAAAGTTATGGATAAAATTGAAAGAATGAACAAGAAGCACCTATATACTCATTGAATAGATTTAATAATCATTAACATTTTACCATATTTGCTTTACTGTTTGTCTCTCTTGCTCTGTTTTTTCTGAGCCATGTCAAAGTAAAGTACAGGCATTGTGACCCTTCACCTTTAATTACTCAGGCATACACCTTCCTAGGAATAATGAACTTCTATATCACCACAAATCTGTTATCACACTTAAGAAAATTAGTACTCCCCTAATATATGGCATACAGTTAATGTGTAAATCACCTTCATTCCCAAAATACAAAATACTGTGGTTGTTTACCCAGGATCCATTCTAGGTTCACTCATGTGGCTGCTTTTTTTTTGGATCTCTTAGAGTCTAGAATATTCTCTGAGGTTTTGGTTTTATTTTTTGCTCGAGATTCATTTGGGGGAAAGGTGTTTGTATTGTTCTAACATTTTCTTACCAAAGCTTTCAAGTTATACAGAAAAATTGAAATAATATAACAAACTTCTGTATACTTTGTACCCAAATCTGTCTTTTGAATGGTGACTAACATTTTGCCACAGTGGCTGTGTGTGCCTGTGTGTACACATGTGAGTATGTATGATGAGCTATTTGAATACCTCAAATACTTGAGGTTATAAGGACATTCAATATCATACTTAAGAAAATGAACAAGTACCATCTATAGCATAATCAGATTTCCCCAAATCTTACCAAATTGCCTTTTATAACCTTTTTTTTAAAGCAACTAATATTGAGTTGTTACATCACTTTCTCCCTTTTTTCTTTGGATTATTTTTTTAATAAAAGATATTGGCCATAAAAAAGATATTGGCTATTTATTGTCGGTTATTCACATTATTGATTTCTCTGATTGCTTTTTGTTAAAACCTTGCTTCTTTGTCTCCAGTATTTCTAGTAAACTAGAAGTTAGGAGTAGATGCTTGATTAGATTCAGATGAAATATTTTTAGCAAAAATGCCTTGTATGTGGTGTTGTGTATCTAATATTTGTATCACATCTGGAGACACATAGTATCTGATTCTTTCTCTTGTTTTAATAGTTAAGCTGGCGTGAGACCAGAGCAAATACATTACTTGTATCAGTATCATGTTCATAGACTTGGCTACATTTTTGTGGGATCTATAAGCCAGATAGTATCTAACCGTATCTGATTCTATTGTGTCTGCTAATAGTCAAGTAAAATGGGACTGTGAAAAGTCTGTTTATATATGAGTGAGTGTATGCATGTGTGGCATTTATATACATTCATTTTTAGTAACACAACTGTACGTAGAAAGATGAGACTTGAAAGTTGGTCTTAGAATATGCTCTCTTAGTTCAGTCATGTTTCAGAAGGAAATGAAAGTACATCTCTTCCTATATTCTCTAAATAGAGGCTTAGATACTAGATTTTTTTTTTTTTTTCAGAATGAAGGGTATAAGACTAAAAAGGTTGAGAAGTACAGCTTTTATTTTTTTAAAAGACTTACTGAGAGAATGTTTGAAAATTATTGGAGATCTTTATGAGTACAACTTAAAATAACTAATGGAGTAATAATTTATTTTGAATAAATGTTTGTTTTGACAGATCAGCTTTGTTGCTAGAGATTGTCACTATGAGTATTTTCCTCACTTACCTTGATCTTGCTTTATTAAGTAAAGTCAACAAAAAATCCAAAAGAAAATACTCAGGGGTTTTTTTTGTACTTTGCAAAAATATTGCTGCAATAGGGCCTTCTGGATGACCCTTTCCCTTTTCATCAGAAATATCTCTGGAATGAGGCAAATCAGCTAAATTATCTCAAGCCTTATTCTCTGGGATGTGTATCAGGCTGGTGGGTGGCAGGTAAGGGAGGCGGTGCCAGGTGAGATCTGAGCTTCATGCATGTCCACACTCAGCCTAAAAATCTGAGATCCCTACTAAGAAGCATAGTATAGTGGTCCAGGCTCCAGGCTGGACTGTCCAGGTCGAATCTTACCCTCCACTTGCTAACCATGTGACTATGGGCAAGTCATTTAACTTCTGTGTATCTCTGCACTCATTTGTAAAGTCGAGATAGTAACCATTTCTACTGTATACTGAAGTGAGATGTAAATGAGTTAATGTTTGTCCTGGCTAGGTAACTCAGCTGGTCAGAGTGTTGTCCTGACATAGGACTGCAGGTTCGACCCCTGGTCAGGACATGTACACGATTTGACCAGTGAGTGCATCAGTAAGTGGAGCAACAAATTGATGTTTCTCTCTCCTTGTCCCTTCCCCTCACTCTCTCTAAAAAAAACAACCTAATCAATTAAAAATGTATTAAATGAGTTAATATTTGTAAAGTGCCTACAGTGAGTGATACCTAACACATTCTGAGCACTGTTAGTATCATCAGTACATAGACACCGGGGTCACTTCTTCTTATATACACTATTGACGTTCATGTTTGAATTCTTTTTCTTTTCAAGGCAATTGAAAAACTTTTTATGAAGTTTCTGTAATAATAAAGAAACATTTACTTATCCTTAGCACATAGTATGAATTTATACAAACTGAGTCACCTGGGGAATCAGCACGTAGGCCACGAAACAGAATATCACTGCAGTACCCTTCTCCCTGTCCCCTTTCCTGTTCCACCCCCACCCAGAGGTGCCACTTCACCACTGACAGTATTGTGACAATATAGATTAGTTTTGGCAAGGTTGTGTTTGCATCATTTTTTAAAAACCTGGTCGTACCTGAATAAAGTGTTTGCTTATGTATATGTGAGGTGGCTGTGTGTTATAATTTTTTTAAAAAATCTTACTTTTGTTTTAGGTATATTGGATCCTCTCATGTTGGTGTTCCTTGGTTTCTATTTGGCCATACATGAATATTTTCCAGAAGATCTCATAAAGACAATTTTTAACATCAAATTCTTAGGCAGATTGGATTCTCAACTTGAACGTATGTATCTACATTTTACTAAATTATCATTTGTACTTGACTCAAGTTTCAGTTCTACCTATACTAAAGCACTAAAATGTTGATTTTTTTGTTTGCTTGTGGAAGTACTTCCCGCTTGTTGTAGAAAACTCAGAAAACACAGAAAATAAAAGATCACTCAATCTTACCACCATGTGAAACTACGATTTTTAATGTTTTGAGTGTTTCTTTTCTGCCTTTCTCCTGTTCTTATGTGTATATCTATATATCTATTAAAACAGAATTTGGATTGTTTATGTATTCACTTTTATAAGTTACCTTTTATCATTAAACTGTTTTTTGAATAATTTTCCATGCCATTAAATAGTTTTTGATGTCATGGTTTTTTGTGTACATAACCTGCCATTATATGGAGGTAATAAAGTTTATCTATCTTAGAGGTTGTTATTACAAATAATGATTGTTATACATGAATCATTGACCTCATTTTTCTTCCCTGGAGATAGATTCCTCAATGGGGAATATTAAATCAATGAAAATTATTTGGTAGTATTTTTGAAATGTAGTCTTAAAGTTAATAATCAGTGGAAGCAACATAGAAGTTGGTCCTAACCATGCCTCTGAATGTAGTAACTGAAAAAATGTAAAGCATGTGTGTGCAACTGAAATGATTTTATGAGAATAAAAGTATCAGCCAGTAATGGGCATAAGTGAATGTGAACAAATGGATTGTCTCTGCTACATCCAAGCCATCAAAATCCATTAATCTATATTTTTATTTCAGTTTTATGTTCATCGCTAAGTACAAGGGTCCAGGTTCGTCTTATGGAATTAAATAGAGCAGTCTGCTTGGAGTGCCCTGAGTATCAGATTCCGTGGTTTCATGACCGCTTCTGTCAACAGCATTATAACAAAGGTTTGTGTTTTCTTTGGGTCAGAAAGTAAAATTTAATTCTGAAGTAAATTATTATGGTAGTGCATTGTTACTGTTTTTAAGCCTATGACACCAGAGTTCCCAACAGTGCCATGACCTGTTTAATGGAACCATTTTGTAAGTGAGATTTGTGTTACAAGAATTTCTTAATATTTCAGACACGAAACCTCTTGGTAGAGTGCAAAGCACTTGTGTTATACTGCATTTAGTGTCATTTCATATGCTATCACATTGAAGCTCTTGTTGGAAATACTACTCTTTATTTTTCACTTTGTAGAACTGGATGATTTTCATTCAAAAACTGATTATTTTAAGTGAACTAATTGTTTTTATTTTCATGAAGATACTGGCAGCCTGAATGGAGCACAGCAGCAGATTTATAAAATGTTAGCAGAGGTACTAGGAGGAATGAATTGTGTAAAAGCCTCGGTTCTTACACCTTATTACCATACAATAGGTGAGTCTTTAATTATCTCATCAACTGCTTCATCCACTTATTGATGCATTCACTGGAATTTTAAGAAAGGTTTTAAAGAATTTTTTTTCAAATTATCTTGAAAATTTCCAAAAACACAGAAATAGAAAACAACAGTGAAGTTCCCATGACCCAGCATTTTGCTATTCTTCAAAAGATTATATTTTTAATTTTTATTTATTTATTTTTAGAAGGGAAAGGAGGGAAGGAGGAGAGGGAAACATTAATGTGTGGTTGTCTTTCACGTGCCCCCTGCTGGAGACCTGGCCCACAATCCAGGCGTGTGTCCTGATGGAATAGAACCAGCAAAAAAAAAAAAAAAAGTTTAAGGTCAGTCTTTCACCAAGTCTAAGTACATAAAACCCAGATTTAGATCCATTGGACATTTCTGGATCTTCAAGAGAGTCTGTCCTTTCCACTCAGTATCCTTATGTTAGGGAAATTATTTACGTGAGTGTCACTGTTTTAAGTTCATCTCAAAAACTATGTTGGATTATCACCCTGGATAAGGATCTCCATAGGTATGTGCTCAGCTCTAACCTGGCTGATCTTGTTTCTCAGTGTAGTTGTAGAAGTCATTCTGATTTAGTTGAGGATGACAAAGCTGATAGGCCAGGTGATATGTTTGATGGCAATAAAAAATTTTTTAAAAATGGCAAAATTCAAGTAGTAAGCTAAGTGAAAAAATGAAATTTTAAGAGAATTAACATAAATTTTCTAAAATTAGGTTTAGAAAACATCTGCATACACACAGAATATTTTAAAGGATTATAAGCTTGATAGAAGCTAATAATATAAATGGTTGGCAAAACTCAAATACTCCTTTAAACTATATTGTTAATAATAACAAGAAAATTGGCAGTCTTACTGTATTTTGTCCTTTGGACACATCTTAATATTGTCTTCTTATTTTCAGTGTTCATTTTGTGACAAATAAGGCCTAGAAATGAAGGCCTTCAAAAGAACTAGGGAAGACTGGGGCTACATGGATTTCAGTCCTTGAGCAAGGTCCTAAACTAGACCTCTGAAGCTTATTAGTTTTTTTACCTGTAAAACGAGGATAACAACATCTGCTTAATAGGATTAACCAACTTATTGCATGAAGAGCATTTCGCACTGCCCTTACAACATAGTAAGTGCTCAATAAATTTTATTTTGGCCCTGGCTGGTGTGGCTCAGTGGATTGAATGCTGGCCTGCAAACCAGCAGGTTGCCATTTTGATTCCTGATCAGGGCACACACCTGGGTTGCAGGCCAGGTCCCCAGTTAGGGGTTTGCTGATAGATGTCTCTCTCCCACATCAGTGTTTCTCCTCCTCTTTTTCTTCCTCCCTCCCCTCCCTCTAAAAATAAATAAATAAATAAAATCTTTTAAAAAATTATTATTTTTTAAATTTTATTTTAATCATTGTTCAAGTACAGTTTTCTCCCTTTCACTCCCATTCCAGCCCACCCACCCAGCCCTCCCCACTTCCTTCCCATTACCACCCTCCCCCTAGTTTTTGTCCATGTGTCCTTTATATTTGTTCCTGTAAACCCTTCCCATTCTCCCCTGAAATTCCCTCTTCTCTCCCCTCTGGTCACTGTCAGTCTGTCCCCTATTTCAGTGTCTTTGGTTATATTTTGCTTGTTTCTTTGTAAAAAAATTATTTTAAAAATAAAATAAATTTTATTTTAAAAAAGCTAGGGATATTAGTCTGAAAACAAGTAGTCTTATGGAGAGCATAAAACTTAAAATATTTGAAGGATTGTATATGTTATTAGAATTGTACATCTGAAGCCTATATAATTTTATTAACCAGTGTCACTACAATAAGTTCAATAAAATTTAAAAAATATTTGAAGGATTGTTACCCGAAAGGAGAATTAGATACCTCTATCTCAAGGGTAAGTATGGTAAAAATTATAGGAAGCAGATTTGAACTCAGTATATGGAGAAGTTTATGAAAGACTTGTTGAAAGTTGAAAATGGGCTGCCTTCTGAAGCAGTAATGTTCAGGCAGCAGCTGGATGATCCCATGATGGTGTGTGTGTGTGTGTATGGGTGATTTCTGTGCTCAGCAGGAGGCTGAACCAGGTAGTCATTACAACCCTCACCTACAAAACACGTAATCTCAGCTGTTTGGTTTTGTGTTAGTATCAGGTTTGGCTATGAGTGACAAAAGTCCAAAAATAATAGGGATTTAACAAAAATTATTTCCTTCTCCCATATACATGGGATGTCCAGGGCTGGGGTGCCAGCTCCGCAAACATTAGAGATCCAGGATCCTTCTATTTTGTTATAATCTGACATGTAGCTTCCACTTCCTGGTCCAAGGTGACTGCCCCAGTTCCAGCCAACGCATTTATAGTCTGAGCAGGAGGAGGAGGAAGAGGAAGAGGAAAAGAAAAAGAAGGGTGTCCCTTTGAGTACAGTTCTCTGAAGTTGTACATACCATTTTGAAATTATACTGTGTGGCCTCATTTGGTTGCAAGTGACTTTAGAAAAGGTGGTTTTTACTCTGGGTGGCCACATACCCAGCTGACAGGTAGGACTCTTTTAAAAATGAAGAGAAGAATTGGGTATTGGGCAACAACTTGTAGTCTGTGCCAGAGGGTTGTTTTAAAAGATAGCTCTACTCTTGTTTATATCTCTACTGTTTGCCAGATGGACTATACTCCCATAAAGGTAATGCTCACAGAAGGAGACACACTAAAATATGAATATGAAAATGATCTGTAACCCCATCTCATACAATTTAAAATTATTGAGCATCAAATTTGTGACAGGCACTGTGGCCGGCTCTTTATCTCCATTATTGCACTTTATTCTTTTTGTTTGTTTGTTTTGTTCATGTTTCTTTCAAACTAGAAATAATACATATCCATTGTAAAACACTTGGCAAATACAGAAAAGTGAAAAGAAAAAAGTCGCTTATAACCTGTTGCAAAATCATACATATAATTAATATTGAAGTTAGGATTATTGCATCACAAGCCCATTGTAGTTCAGTTCTGATTGTACATCTTGTTGTCAGTCTTACTTTTGTGTAAAACTATGCAAATCATTAAAAATAAGATTTAATAGGTAATATTTTATATATAAGAATGTGGTATAATTAAGATAATATGTAGTATGAGTAAGAATTACAGGTTGAAAACATTACTTTTTAGGTATTAAAAAACACTCACTTAAAAAAAATCATATGATGCATGATTATCAGAAAAACCAGAAAGGGTACATAAAAAAGAAAAATCACCCATGATATAAGCACTGTTTACTTTCGGTGTGTTTTTCTATTTCTGACTGACTTTTTAAAAATAAAAAATGGCCTATTTTGTAGTGTTTGTAACTTTCTGTGCGTATATATTGTGTATATTTTTCTATGCCAACAGTGATAATACACTATTCTTAGTGACTGTATAACATTTTATTGAATGAGTGTTCTGTAGTTTATATAATTGATACTTCAGGGGTTTTTTGCTGGCATGTATATCTGTCCAACAATGCTGCAGTTTCGTATAACAACATAATAATAATTGATACACACATATTGCTTATGATGTTAGACACTGTCTTAAGTGTTTCATATATAATAAACTTATTCATGTCTCTGTAAGAAGCATAAGTTATGCTATTTTACAGATAAGGCCCAGAGACAATATTATTTTTTCAAGGTTATATAGCTGGCAAATGGGATAGCCAGGGTTAGACCTAATTATTCTAGCTCCAGAATTCATTCTCTTAATGAGAGAATTATATTTCATCTTTAGATTTGAAAAGGCTTCATTTACCCGGTTTCTCTTACGTGTAAAAAGTAGATAACTAAAGCTACCTTTTCATTCATTGTTTCTTTTTTTCTTGGTTTAAATACTTTTATGATTGTTTTTATTATGGGAAAATTTCAAACATACAAAAATAGAGAGAATCAACATTTAGCAGAAATAATTATCAATGCTCATTCACCAGAGTCCCATTTGCTTCTTTTCAAGCAATCACAGGTTACATATCATTTTAGAATGGGTGGCTAAAAAATAAGGATGGTTTTCTAAAAACTTAAACACACCACCATCACCACCCCTACCTACAGTAGTTTCACAATAGTTTCTCAAGGTCAAATAGCTTGCTAATGCCCAAATGTCTCAATTTTCTTTTACTTTATAGTTGATTTGGTAAAAGTGGGATCCAAACATTGTATTCAGTTATTTGTCTTTAAAAAGACAAATTACTACCTTTCTCTCCTTTTTCCTTACAATTTATGTATTTCAATTTTTTTTAAATATTCTAAACTTCTCCAGTTGCAACCCTATGGTGTCATTTAACATGCATCAACATCCCCTGTTTTTCCTGTAAGCCAGGAGTTAGATTTAGAGGTTTGATTAGATTCAGGCTAGATTTTTTTTCAAGTTTAATTAGATTTAGGCTAGATTTTTTTTTTTTGGTCAGACTATTTTTTAAGTGGTATGTATTTTTTATTGCATCATATCAGAAGACACACAAGGCTGGTTGTCTTCCTCTTTATTATATTACGATCCATCAGTGGGTTTGTATGTCCAATCAGCTCATCCATTAGGAGGTTCTCCCATCAGCATTTTACCTACTGATGTTAGTGGCCATTAAAATCATTGTCTACATCCATGATTCATTGGAGGGAGCAAAGTAGTGATATTCTACATCTAACATTCCTTCTGAATTTATTAGCTAGAATTTGTCTAAAAATAATTTATCATATCGACCATTTATGATATGTACACTTCAGATAGGAAAGACAGGATACATGCTTGAATCTTCACTTGTTTTCAGATCCATTGGCATAGCTCCCTCCAAATGTGACCAACAGAATTCAGGGGATTAGAATATAACTCTTTAATGTGATTTGACCTAGTCCAGTGCTTAAATATAGCCCCATGCTAAATATAGTTTACTGATACCTGCTGATTTATTTTTATTAATTGATTTTCAAACAGAGGTGCCGTTGGACCAAATCTTATAAGTTGGATAATTAGGGAGGTACATTATTCTTTTTATGTGTGTGTGTGTATGATGCATGTCTGTGTGTGTGTGTGTATTTAAAACATATCTTAAACTTTTACCTGTAAGAATTTACCTTCATACTGTTGATTCCTGTACTTACAGATTTTGAGTGCATCTTGGATAAAAGAAAAAAACCTCTTCCTTATGGAAGTCATAATACAACTTTGGGAAAAATGCCAGAAATGCACTGGGAACCAAATACCCCAAGAGTTGGATCAAGGCTGCCACCAGGAACTGAAAGGTAACTTATTTTTTAGTTTCAGATTTTGTCATCTCAATATTGTACTTGAACTCATTTATCAAAGATTTACGGAGTAGAAGAATCTGCTTCTCATCAATCTCATGCATTCTACCTCTGTACCTTTGGTTTTCTTTGTGCTTTCAGCCTTAATGGCTGTCTTTTGTTGTCTAAAGTCTAGCATCTCTCTAAGGTGCTAATCTTCTAGTGACTTCAGCAGAAGCAAATAGTATCTTCTTTGGAGGCTCCATACCTCTCTGCTTTTCTGATAGCATTTAGCCACTTACACTGTTCCAAAGCTGTGTTGCTTTAGCTTTGTATTCTTCACTATGCCTTCCTTACATATAGTAGGTGCAGAGTAAGTATATATTAAACAGAGAAACAAATGGTTGAAAACATGGAAATGCTTAGTGTAATTTGTTATAATTATAATAAATAGGCATATCATTACTAATTTAGGTAGAAAATAACTTGGTATACTCATTTATATTCATTTGGCTGTTGTTGGTTTATAAACATGCATCCTTGTTGCTGAAAGGGTTATAATTATTGTTTTTCATTTTGATTTTAGAAGTAATTATTTATTTTTATCTTATGTAGAATTGCTTTGGAATTTTTGGATTTAAGAGCTTTTTGTAAAAACGTCCCTCATTTAAAAGGAAAATCTGCAATGAAAAAACGACATTTGGAAATTTTGGGCTATCGTGTAATTCAGGTATGAGACACTCAGGAAAATCAGCTTCTAAAAGACGTAGGAGACCTTACCTGTACATTTGTTTCCTTTTAATGTTAAAGTTCTAGAATTATATCTTTTTTATATTAAAAAAATTGTATTAAAATATCTGAAATAAAACATCCTCCATTTTTTTAAGAATAGTAAATAAAAATAATCATTTCTTATTTGTAGAAGATCTGTTGATTTCTGTTCGTACATTTATCTTACCAGATGGATAGAGCTATAGGGAAAAAGGCTAGGGCATGAAAGTAGGGAAGACACCCAGAAAAACTGTCTGTTATTGGTGTCACAGGAAGCTGTGAGGCAGAAGAATGTCTTCTGGGCTTGGTCAGGAAGAAAGACCCACTTGGATTCCAAAAAGGGTTCAAAGGCTTATGTTTTTGTAAACTAATTTCATAGGGTTCCTGCGGATATGCTCAGTAGTGCTTAGAAGTCTTTCCTTATGTTTTTTTTTTGTTGTTGCCTTAAAATGTCCATTTTTACTACATTTGTTTTACAGATCCCTCATTTTGAATGGAACTCTATGGTGCTGTCAACAAAGGGTGCTCGATTGGACTACCTGAGAGAATGTATATTTGGAGATGGCAAATCATGACTGTAATTTTTATTTAAACAGTTATCATGGTGTGTCACGTATGATCTTATTTTAATTAAATCTCCTGACTCAGTTAAATACTAATATAGAATTGACTGGTTTCAAGGTCAGTTGAATCCCTATTAAAATAAATACACATTTTACAGTAGAATATCGTCTCTACTATTGTGCTGGAAAACTGTTTAAAATTCTTAATATAAAAGACATGTAGCTTTTAAGAAACTTTAATAGTTTACAATTCATCTTTGAGTACATACTGTGTGCCAGGAGAATACCTCAGTGAATATACCATATCTACCAGGGGTGGAGTCAGACAAAATACATGATACTAAGGGTTATAGAAAAGAATTCAGAGGGGGGTACAGGAATATTGTGGGGGATGTAATTTTAAATAGGGTGATCTGGGAAAGACAAGGTTATCATTTGATGAAGACTTAAGGAGGTGAGACTATTTGGGGGTAGAGTACTCTAGGCAGAGGGATGAGTAGGTGTGCAAAGATCCTGAGGTATGAATGTGCCTGGCATGTTTGAAAATAACAAGGAATCTATTGTATCTAGAACAGAACAAGTGGGTTGGAAGCATATTAGGAGACAAGTCACACTTAAATGCTCTCATGGCTACTCTGAGACAAGAGGCCATTGGAGAATTTCTAACAAAGGAGTAAAGAACTCACATTTTAACTGGATCACTGTGACCATTCTGTTGAGATGAGAAAAGACTGCAGTGGGGCAAGTGTATAAGCGGGGAAACCCATGAAAAGGTTATTGCAATAATCCAGACAGGAAATGGGTGGTGGCTTGTACAGAGTGCTGTCAATGGAGGTAATGAGAAGTGGTCGTATTTTTAAATGTATTGTGGAGGCAAAGGCAACAGAATTTGCTCAGTGATTGGCTATGAGGTATGAAAAATAGCAGGGGTTAAGGATAGTTCTACATTTTTGTCCTGAGCAACCAAAAAGATGACATTGCCATCGACAGAGATGGGGAGGTCCATGAGGAGAGGAAGTGGAAGTGTTGGTTGTGGTGGTGAGGATTACAAGTTTGGTTTTAGACATGTGGAGTTTGTGGTGCTTTTTAAATATCTAAGTGGAGATGTCAAATAGGCACTTTAATAAATGAGTTTGGAGATGAGAGGAGAGGTCCAGACTCAAGAATTTGGAAGTTGTCAGTAGTATTTAATGTGATGAGACTAGAAGAAATCACTAAAAAGCGGTTAGAGGAAAGAGTGAATGAGGGACAGGTCTGAGGACTGAGCTCCAGAGGCTGTGACACGAAGAGGTCACAAAGGAGGAGAAGCAAAGGAGACTGGATAGGATGGCCAATGAGGCAGGAGAAAAAGTCATAGGTAGTAATACTTCCTAGAAGCCAAGTAGAGAAAGCATTTCAAGAAGGAGGAAGTGAGCAATTCTATGAGATGCTGCTGAAAGGTCAGGTAAGATGAGGACTGGGAAATATCCATTAAATTCAGCAATATGACAAAATCACTGATAACTGAAAAGAGTCATTTTGATGAAGTGGTGAGTTTGAAAGCCTGATTGGTTCAAGAGAAAGGAGGAGGAGACAAGATTTTCTTATAAATGGAAGCAAAGAAATGGGGAGATAGGTGAGGGGAAGTGAGCCATTCTAGACGTGGTCTGATCCTTCAAATACTGAGGAGGGAAAGTACGATTTTCTCTTTGTCTTACAATGCATTGATTCAATAAAATAGTTACTAAGGGCCTACTATGTGAATAATTCCCAACTCTTCCAAGACTGGTATATACATGCTCAGCTGAAAGGCACCTGGTGGGGGTGCAGGTAATTGGCCATCTGAAGTGTGTTGTCCTCTTGACCCTCTCTAAATTCATTCTGTCTCAAAATAAGTTGGTAGCTAGAGGGCCTTGCCTCTTAACTGTAGCTTTACAATGTGTGTTCTGCATGAAAATTGCCATACTCATATTTAGTTTAGGTTTAAAGTGCTTGTTTAAAATATCCAATTATTTTGCATGATTTAAGCCCCAATTCTGAATGATTTTGCAAAATGTGAACTTCTCATAATCTTTTGTGGAAAACAGAATCAGAACAGTAAGTAAATGAAAGATATCTCTCCTTACTCTCCCTAATTCTGAATTTCCTCATGATATTCATTTCCATTACCTGCTATGCTAAATGCCATTATCCATTTTATGAATGTGTCCTATTTCCCAAGCAAATGATTACTGGAACTAAACCTCTGAACAGGTTAAAATATTTTATTATGTAACTTTTGGAATAAAATGATTAGGGTTAGGTGAGGGTTATAAATTAGACTGAGGGGAGTTATAAATTGGATGTAAATAAAACCCCAGATGTTGTATATTTTAGATACATAGAAGTCTTGATTACATGACCCTGATATACTTCCCAGTTACTGTTATACACAATCTGAATTTTCATGTACCGCATCTCTTCCCCGCCCTTCTCTAGGCTGCCTGATTCAGATGGTGTGTGTGTGCATGTGTGTATATTTGTATTTATTTATATTTTTGATGACTTTTCTGTCTAAATAACTGGAATTGTTATAAACAAAAGCATTTTTTTCATTAAGGTGTAATGCGCATACCATAAAATTCGCTGTTTTGAAGTCCCCAATTCAGTGATTTTTAGTACACTCACAAGGTTGTGCCACCAGCAACACCGTTACCTAGTTCCAGAACATTCTCACCATCCCAGAGCATTATCTTGACAGCTGAATCTCATGTCTGCATCACTCAGCCTTCTCTCCCCTGTCATAGAATCCTCCCCATCGGTCCCAAGTCAGGTTTCTCAGAAAACGGTGTGTGTCAGGGGAGACATGAAACAAGTCTGAAAGCCCGTGAGGCCCATAAGCTGTGATGAGTTGATGACTGGGGTTGAATGTGATGGTTGTGGACAGACCTGTGAGTCAACTTGCTATGGATAGGATGGGGCGAAAGTAGGTTTACAGTTGTATGTGAAATAGTTTATTATTGTATTAATATTTATTAATTACTGTATTATTTTCCATGGAACCAACTGTAAACCTACTTCTGCCCTACCCTGTTGTATACACTAAGAACAAACAGCTTGAATGTAAGGGTCTTGTGTACCAGAAAGTGGAATAATACAGTCACCTTTCCTTCAGAAATTTGCAAATAGCCCTTTCTTGGAAAGTATAGATAAACCAGTGAATACACACCATCCTCCGTACCACCCACTACTTCACCCACTACTTCACTTCTGCCTCTGCAGTTTCAGACTTTAGTTAATGGCTTGAAAACTGATTGACTGCTTTAAAAGTTAAAAAAAAAGCATTTGATTTAAATTACAAACAGTATACCAATGTCAGAAAAAGAATGGAGAAAAAAAGACCACTTGAATTTGACTGCTTTTTCTGAGAGTTTTCCCCTTTAAATGAGACCCATTAATTATACTCCTTAAATAGCATTTCTGAAGTCTTATGACATGTAATCTTTAATATGATATACAGAATTCTTGTCATTTTGAGGCATGAGCGAAGGCTTTTGATGTTTTAAACATTTTAAAAAATGTAGATGAACATATTTCATTCTTCAATTCATTTATAATAGAAAATGTGTCAAGTTACCCTACCAATGCAAATGAAAGGATTCACAACTCAAATTTAGGAAACTGCTTTACAATTAATTGAGAGATCTCAAAACAAATGATCTGTTCAAGTTAATATTTAATTTCTCATTAGAAAATCGTTTTAAGCTCTGATCATTACAATGAAGATTCAGGGACTTTGAGGTTTTGATACCCACTGCTAATCTCTTGGACAGTAACTTATTAAATAATTTCTACATGAATCTCGATAGGCTTTTAAAAAACAATAAATAAAGCCCTATTATCCAAACAAAACACCTCCCATTCTATTGCATTTTTTCACCTTCTTGTTTATAGCTTAGACAGTTTGAAGAGATTTAAACGTGTTGCGAGGCAACTAGCTCCTGAAGCATAACGTATTTCCTTCAACATCCCAGCCCATTCCTTTTTATCGTCTTCATACCTGGTGGAGAAAAACAGTAATCAATAGCAGTTTTTACTTGGATAGTTCTTTATGTGTCAAATACACAAATGTGGATCTTTGAAAAACCCTACTGGTCCTCAGCCAGAGGAGGATGCCCCTGACTGCGGGAGAAGAACTCAAAATACGCATCTTTTGAAGGAGTATGCCTGAACTACCGCCACGGTATTTAATGTGGATGCTCAGGCAGTTAAGCTCCCTCTGGGAATTAGAAACTGTCCAGAGATGAAGAGTGATATACAGGCAATTGATCACTCTCTTTTGGACTGATAAATATGGCTGGTCTTTATGAGCCAAGGCCAACAGACTCTACCTTAACAGTAAGAATTGGGACAAGTTGGGACCGATAGTTACCTTGATTATGATTTTAGTCGTTCTCATAACTAGTGCCCAGCACAGAACCTGACACTAGTGGTCACTCCATACAAATCCGTTTTCCTTTCCCCTTACTGTCCTGTGTGAGTACTACTCTTAGCCTGCACTTGACATTAGGTAAGATCTGGTTGTTCCCTTTGAGTGTTCAGGGTCATAAAGATAACAGACAACTTCAATTCCTTTGAAGGGTGTGCCTGTCCTCTACCTGGTGCCCAAAACACTCCTCTTCCATGAGGAACTCCTAATGCTGCCTTCCCTTTGAAGCCTTTCTTGCCTTCATCAAACAGAGTTTGTTTTCTCTTTATGTCTCACATTGTCCTTTATATAGTATTTATTATAGCAATTACTCTTTTTTCTTTTAAATACTTATTTTTAGAGAGAGGGAAGGGAGGGAGAAAGAAAGGAAGAGAAACATCGATCAATTGGTTCTTCTACACACCCAACTGGGGACCTGGTCCACGACCCAGGCCTGTGCCCTGACGGGGAATGGAATTGGCCACCTTTCAGTTGGTGGGTCAATGCTGCAATTATTCTGTTTTAATTTCCCCCCTATGTTACGTCCTGAACAAGCTCAAAGGTATTTGAGGACAAATAATACATCTTACAGACCTTATCCACAGTCATTACTTGGCATAAGGAAACAAGCCAAATCATTCCATGATGAATGGGATTTAAATTTTGCTAATACCTATGTAAGAAATGGGCTATCTGAATTTCTTCAGTTGTCCAAATATACTGTATTTTACCACGTGTAATGCACA